TGCTCATATGTCATTTCATCCAAGAGACCTCATCTGTATTAATTGTAACCTACCACCATTTCTTTATATCCTTTTATCCTTTGTTCTTCATGGTTCTCAACATTCCTGTCATGTTATATGCGACTGTCTACTTTCTGCCTCCTGAATTACATTCAGAATACAGACGGCATGGAAACAAGATGCTTGTGATCTTCCCCTGTTATATCCAGAGATCTAGAATAGAGTGTGGCACACACTAGAAATATGGTAATCATAAGGATTCAAGTGTCGTTTTCATTCTCTGTAGTGTCGGTGTTGGCCTTATCCTTGTCTCTCTTCTGGTTTTCATTACTTCTCTATCATCCTTCTTCTCTGGAAGATTGTTTTGCTATTTGCCCAACATTAAACCTTGGCCCTCTGCTTTTCCTTCTGTACACGCTCCTTGGGTTTCCATCCAAACACCACTGCAATGATTAGCACATTCACAGACCTGGATGACTGACATGCACATGCAAATCTGCCCCCCACCATCCTCCTGAACTGCAGACCTAGCTGTCCAGCTGCATTCTCATTGCCAGCCCTTGGGCATCTGCAGGGGAACCTTCAGGGGCCTCTCTGGTGACACCCTGGGGATCTGTCCTCAGGTCCTTATGTTGCCTGCTGCCTTTTTTCTTGACCTGTTTTTCCTAAAAATGATTAAAAATCATTAAGTGACCACTCTTTGTTAAGCACATCCTATAATATCTTTTATTAATCCTTCCAATGGCTCAAAGTAATTGATGATAACTTCTGTTTTCTAAATGAGAAAACTGTAAACTTAGAAATTTTATATAACCTGGTCAAAGTCACAAAGGTTTTAATAATGTCTGATACTGATTTTTACTGTGTAATTCTGATTCCCTTCCAAGTTCATAAAACAAAGCCCATCTTCTCCATTGGAAAAAGACATTTTGCAAATAACAGTCCAAGTGAAAGACGAAAATAGTGTGTCTCCAAGGGCTCATTGCACCTTGGAGCACACAGTTCCTTTGGCCTGTCTTAGACAGAAAGCTAAGGATTCCATTTTGAGCATTACCCTGTCTCCTATACAGAAGCAGTTATAACTTGCCCCAGATTAATTTTTTAATCCTTTCCCAGAAAACCTCCTGAACAGCATTCTACCACCACCACCCCTTTTCTTTCCTGGAGAACATGTGGAATACCTCTGAGGGATGACCCGTTAAACATGGCCCAAGTCTGTAGGACAGGACAGATGTGTAAAAATGCGCATGGCTTTATTCAGGTGGAGCTATTTACAAAGTCTCCTATATTAGCTTAGAACAAGTCTTCTGCCCTTTTCCAGTCTTTATAATGTCCTACCATCACCATTGCTGTCCTGGCTCCCTCCTCAGTTCTTGTCTAGCTCCCCCAAAAGTCTTCTTAGAGCCCATGACAGAGCTATTAGACACCTGATTTCTGATTTATATTAACATAAAATACAGGATGACAGAGGGGTGGAGTAGAAGCTCATGTGCTCTACAATCTTAGTAGTAGAAATAAACTTCCATGTGATTTTTAATGGCTGCAAAACAAACAAAAACACAATATGTGCATCACTATTTTCACAATGGGTTTTTGTAAACTCTTTGAAATTTTACTGGATAATGATCCTCTTGGAACCTTGGGCAGTATGTACACATTTCCAAAATATGTTGAATCGATACCATCTTCTCCATAGCAAGGACTAGAAATGACATGAATTTCTTCATTCTCTGTTCTGGCTGTATGTTTACACAGGAAGTAGTCAGCACACACTCTGCAGCATGCTTTGAGGGCCTCATTCCTCCAGAACCACTCTGCAGCACCCTTCTAGGGCCTCATCTCTCTGGAGCCATTCTGCAGCATCCTTTCAGGGCCTCATCTCTCCAGAACCACTCTGCATCATCCTTATAAGAACTATTTAAAATCATGATGCTTAAAATGAAAAGGTTTTCTGAGTCAAAAATCAGAACCCTTGAACTAATGGGCCTGTGCATCCTTGTAGATATTGTGGGCCCATAAATTCAACTGTTACATATAAAATCTGCAGCTGTGCCATGCGCTCACCCCTATGTTTGATATAGAATAAATTGGGAATAAAAATATGAACTTTATTGGCTCATAGTAACTATGTTTTGATGCTTAGGAAGAGAGATAGTTATAATTTCAAACTCTGGCAGTCTTCCTGCACATAGAGAGAAGCAAGTCAGAGGTTAATACGAGCGGATTTGAGGCATGCATTTTCCTTCACCTCTAACCAAACAGTCGGCTTTGGGCTCCCATTTCTTCCGCTGGATTAAATCAGGTGTAGCATATGCAGGCTCTCACACAGCGGCAGCTGCTGAGTCTATTCGAAAATTGCTGTGCCAGCAGCGATTTCCCTGCAGCTCTCCTCTGTAATTGAATAAGAACCAGCAGGTGCCTGGTGCCATGACAGGGGAATCACAGACAGGCTCAGAGCCTGTCACTGTGTGATGGAGTCTCTTAGGGCAGCCCTGGGTTCTGCTCAGGGGTAGGGCACAGAAAGCTTTTCCTTTCATTACATATTTTTAGTGTAGCAGAGAGTTATGACTTTGAAACTGGTACTTTTACATATTTTTCAATTAAGATGGGGAATAATGGAACTTTGCACAATTCATTTTGTAAGATAATGACGTATACAACAAGTCACGAGTACTAGGAAAATGTTAATATACTGACATTTTGTTTTTGCCCTAATGTTAATGAGAAGAAAGCATTCAGACAATCTCTGTGAATAGGGTGTGTGTGTTACCATGAAATTGTTAGGGCCAGAAGGTTCTAGACAGTAACCATTAACTGAGTAAGGAAAAGGTAAGCCTTGCTGTTATTGTTTTGCTAAGCCTCAAGCATCAGCAATATTAGTTTCCAACAGACTTTGGACTTTAAAAACAGTGAAAACAGAGGCAATTATCTATTGTGAACAAGGTTTGCCTAGTTCCATCCAAGGTTGCTAGGCATTGTAAGAGGCACTGCTCAGTTGGTAACTGTGAGTCTGTCTTTATTCTAAACACATTTCCAGTGACTATCAAAGCAACACTGACACAGCAGAGAAAGACTGAGAAGCGATCTATACCCAATGGGAATGTGGGTAACAGACAAAAGTTTATATTAGGATTTTCTTTCCTGGTTCAGTGATATGGCTCAGCAGTTTAAAGTGCTTGCCCCAAAAGGTGACCATTTGAGTTCAGCCCCAGAGACGGTGTAAGAAGAGAACCCACTCTATAGAGTGATTTGTTCTCTGACCTTGACTCTCATGCTGTGGCATGTATACACACACACATACACACACAATAATAATTATTATTATTATAACTCTGAAAATTAAATTTTAAAATGATTTTCTTTTCTTGCTACTTAATGAGGAGTGCTTACTTAGTTCAAAGTTTGTACAATGAAACATTTAAAAATTATATTCAGGGCTGGAGAGATGTCTCATCAGTTAAGAGCACTGACTGCTCTTGCAGAAGACCCAGGTTTGAATCCCAGCATGCATATGGCAGCTAATACTGTCCTTAACATCAGTTCCAGGGGATCTGATGCCTTCTTCTGTCCTCTGAGGACACTGCATGACACGGGTGCCCTAACATACATGCAGGCATAACACTCATACACATAAAATTTAAAAACAATTGTATCTAAAGCTTGAAATATTATCAGAGTCCATAAACAATGTTAAATAGGCAAAAGAATAAGGTATCTCAACTGAAATGGAAAGACAACAGATTCAGAGAGAAAAATGAATACAGTTGGAGATTCTTTAAAGTTTTAAAGTTACAAAGCATTCATACCTAGCCCCTGAAGGTCAATGGTGGTGGGGCATGGCATGTCTCATATTACTCTGTTGTCAGAAAAACCCACCTCACATGTATAACATAACTGTTGTGTTTCCCTAAAGCTTCCGTTGTTGACTAGTCTGCCAGCTTAAAGCTTACACCTTTGCTCTTAATAAAAGAAAAGAGGGCTACTTAACTAAATCTCCCAACCATTAAAAACAATTGGTTTTACAGCCTCTTTCAAGTTCCCCTCAGAGAAAGCTACTGCAAGAAAAAAAATGACTTTGATGTGTTGTGAGGCTTAATCAGACATTCTTGAGTAGCAAATGGTAAGGAAAAAAATCCCAATAAAATGCTTTAAAAATTGGAAGTCATTTGATAGAGCTGCTTGTCTGTAGCGATTTTGGAGACGTGCCAGTGTTAAATAGGATCCAGTTGGTGTAGACTGAACGATGCCTGGCAATGAGTCAGGACAGAAACTCTGACCAAATAATGTCTTTTTTGAGTAAGTGACAGCTGAAAGCTGTTCTCTGACTGTTACTGCTGTGAGTAAATGGGTAGATATTTTATTTTAATATGTAAGTGTGAAAGAAAGTTGTCACTCTGATGCTCTAAAGAATCCAATTGAAAAAAAAAGGGAACATTTCTAATATTGTTTTAATGAAGTTTGAAATAATGGAAAAAACTCTTAAAAAAATAGAGAACTAATCAATGTAATTTTTTAATCATTTGCTGGAAACTGAACTCTTATCCTTTAGAAGACAAATGAACATACTTAGTGGCTGAGCTATCCTCTCCAGCCCAAAGATTTATTTATTTTTTAATTATGTGAATGTGTATGTATCTATGTGGGTGTGTGCATGTGGGTGTGGGTGTCTGAAGCAGCTGCTAGGGACCCAGCTCCTGTCCACTGCAAAAGCGGTATGAGCTCTTAGCCAAATGCTGCCAGGCATGGTGGTACACGCCCTTAATCCCAGCGTTTGAAAAGCAGAGGCAGGTAGGTGGCTCTCCATGAGTTCCAAGACAGCCTGGTCTATATAGCTAGTTCCAAGCCAACCTGGTCTACGTAATGAATTCCAGCCCTGTTGGGGTTACATAGTGAGACCCTGTCTCAAAATCTTTTTTTAAAAAAAAACTTTTTAAATCACTTGCAATTCTTTATGTAGTAAAAAGGAATTCCATCCCTTCTGTGCCACTGTTTATTTTCAGGAAAAGGGAGGCGACTGAAACAAGCTACAGAAGAAGCAGTAGGGGAGACTGACCGGTATAGGATGCAGAGGGAGAAGGCGTTCCGCCTGAAGCAGTCGAAGGTGAGGAGGGACCAGCACTGACTTCCATGTGCTTAGATAATGAAGTGTTCCTATGCATAACATGTAATATAGAATACTGAACAAACCACTGAAATCAGCAGGCGCACTCTACTCAAGGGTGAACATAGCTACATCTTTAAGATCATATAAAAAGGTCACTCAGTTGCTGCCTAATGCATAGAAGGTGTTCAAGTTCATATTCTCAAATATATACTTGAACTGACTGGTTAAAATATTCTTATCACAGATTATTGATTCAGCATGTGTTAATAAGAAAAAATCTTCAGAAAACATTTAGTATTTATTTATTAATGTTTACTAATAGAATTAATGATATTCAGGATAAGATGCAGAATGAATTGTCAGCTCAAGTCTCTTAGTGGATATGAGTAGATATCGTTTTAAGCTCTCTGGTGCCATGGATGTCTATAATCCCAGCATTCAAGGGGCAAGGGCAGGAGGATCATGAGTTCAAGGCAGCCTGAACCTGTTTCAAAAAAATCAAAAACACAAAGAAAGCCACTGGTATTTCCTTATGATTTCCTTGGTAAATGATTACCTTCATTCAGTAAATGTTTCACTTAAATATGAAGAAACTGGACTTTTTCCTACACTATCATTTTTAAGTTTTTATGGTTTGTAATAAAAAAATAAGTGCATGATGGGGCTGAGGAGATGACTCAGTGGTTAAAGCACTTGCTGCTCTTCCAGAAGACCTGAATTCAGTTCCCATTACCCAGGCAGCTCACGACCTCCTTTAACTCCCATTCCAATGCTTTCTGGCCTCCAAAGATACTCACACACATGTAACATACATATACATGGATACACACATAAATAAATAACCCAAAGAACAATAACACGAAAAAGTGCATGAAATTTTCAGAAGCAACATCATCCCACGTTGCAACCGAGAATAGAAAGCATTGAGCACTACATATCATAACTAAGTTGATGTGGTATGCTTTGCCTCATTAAAATACAACTAAAGCTCTATTCAGAAGCCTGACATTGCAAAATGAAACACAAGAGTTCAGAAAACTCTTCATTTACAAACTTTATCTTAGTAGAAATAGATGAAGAATTCACCAAGAATTAGATAAGCTGGATTTGATTGTTGAAAAAAACTTTCTGAGTAGGTTGTTTTTAAAAATAGTTTTGATTCTTTGAAGTTTTCATACAATGTATTTTTATCACATTCAGACCCTCTACCTCCACCTTAACACTCTCCCCAACTTCATGTCCTCTATTATTATTTTTCTTTTTTAAAGGCCTATTGAGTCTAACCTGTGTTTCTAAAATGCTCTTGGATGTGGGTCTTGCCTTTGAAGCCTGGTCAACGTATCTGGCATCACACTAGTAAGGAAAACACCCTCTCCTAGCATCTATCAAGTGGCAATAGATGAGCTAGGGATGGGACTTCTTCCCAACCTCTTCCAGTCATGCTGGGTTTTTGTCTGGCTTAAGCTTGTACAGGTGTTGTGGATGCTGTCACAAGCACTGTGGGTCTCTATGTGTAACTGCTCTGCTGTGTCCAGTCAACATGGTTTCCTGGCATTCATCCATCACCTCTGGCTCCTACAATCTTACTGCCTCCTCTCTGGCAATGATCCCTGAGCCTTAGGAAGATAGGGTGTGATACAGGTATCCCATTTAGGGCTCAGCACTCTGCAGTCTCTTATTCTCTGCACTTTGACCAGTTCTGGGCTTCTGTGTTAATTACCATCAGGTTCTTTCTTTAAATAAAAAGCTCTCCTTTGGATGAAGTGGATCAGTAAGAAAAAATGAATTCTTCCTATCAACAAAATTCTCAAATCCTATCCATGCATCTGGATACAGTCCTCACACTTGGTGCCTATGTTTCCTACACACTTGTCTTTCCTTTCTCTACTCTAGACATCCTGACCTTTCTCTTCCTCCAAGAGGCAGAGCATGCCACCCAGGGGGCCTTTCCGTTCTCACTGTCTGCCCCTCTCCTGTTCATGTTTCCTTATCTATCTTTAACTTCAGTGTCTCTTCCTGATTATCCGAAATTACCTCTCTTGTAAAAATAAAGGGATATAACATAGTCTTTTCTTCTTCTCCATAGCTTTTATCATTGGATGGCTATTGCATATTTATATTTCATCTATTGCCTCTTTCTTGCTAAACTGTAAGCCTAGAAATAGACAAATTCTTTGTCTTCCTAGACTTTAAAGCAATGTGTGTTCCATAGTAGACATTCACTAGACACTTGCTGAGATTACACTGGATATTTCTGTGTCTTTATCCTTTCTAGTGAATCCCACCATAAGCCCAACATATTCAACAAGAGCCAGCTTTGATTTCTTATATGTGTTTCTGATATGATAGCTACTTCTAATTTTTAAGTAATAACAAAAATGACCATAATTTTAGAAAGTAGTTAGGTTAAACATCTTGAAATATTATTTCCCAAGATGAATCCAATCAAATATAAATCTATCTAAAGATCTGTTCTCTGCTTTGGACAATAATTAAAACCCATCACTCTTGGGAATTAGAGTTCCAAGACAATTTTACAGCTAGTTGATAAAAAATGCCCCTAGGAAAGTCACCATATTTAATCCTGTGCTACTTCAAGCATAGCATAATCCATTAGTGTAATTCTCTTCTTCCCTGGCACCATCTCCTGAGGTCAGGCATCTTGCTATTCCCGCTAAATCTGGCCATCATTAATCCGGGGCAATTAGGAGATCTGGGAGGAGACCCAAGAAAGGAGCTTTCTGCCTGCTGGGAGCATTGCTCACTCATGTTTCTTTCTGTTGTTGCATTTTAGATCTTTTAATACCCGAGTGTTTCAAAGTTCCTGACTTCAAGTACTGTATCCCAGCTGATATCTCCATGTGGGTTATATATCAACTAATATGACTTAATCAAAGATCTATTAATGCCCTGGTTATCATGCCACCCTATATAGTGCCTTCAACTAAAGCAGATATTACATTGCCCGAAATAAATCTTGACTTCAGAAAATAGCAGTGTTTGTAAATATAAGAAAAGGTTAGATGGACCAGAAATCTAAGCAACAACACTGACAGTGGTTTATCTTGTTTTGTTTTGTTTTGTTTTGTGTCCTTTTGATTCATATGAGAACATTTTTGTCTTGTAAAGCAATAAAAAATTGAGTACCTAAAATTGTTTTGCTTGTAACGGGCTGACCTGAAGCCCTGCTATTCCTTCACCTGGAACATTTGAACTTATAAATGAAAATTATCAAGTGTTGACATATCTTACCATAACCATAAATATGACACTGTAAAGCCATACAAATCAGTCTCAAAAATTAAGTTTTGTGAATTGACATGTGAAAGTCCTCAAGTGACACATTTAGCCTAAATGTATCATGGATGTATGGAATTATCAACTTCCTATTTATATGATGTCCCAAGTGTTCCTGTCTTGGGCTTCTGACAACATAAACATAAAGAACATAAGTAGCAAATTCTCTGCAATACCTTGGGCAGTTGCCCACCTCAATAATATGTACTGAACATAGGCAATAGTTCAACATTAATTTGCCTTTGAGTTTTTGACCAAGCAAGGCTTAAATTTAGGGGTAATGTTTTTATTACTTTGATAGATTCCCATTTAAGACACTGAATTTTTAAGAAGAAAAATAAATTTTGCTTTTTTTTGTCTTTTTGAGACAGGGTCTCCCTGTAGCCCCAGCTGTCCTGGAACTCACTATACAGACCAGGCTGGGCTCGAACTCACAGAGATCCACCTGCCTCTGCCTCCTGAGTGCACACCTACAGGTGTGCACCACCACGCCCGGCTCGAAAAAAAAATTTTTTTTTATTGAACTGTTTTGATAAGTAAATAGTTCTCATCTATTTTAAAACTTATCTAGAGGAATTTGTACTATGTGTGTTGTTTCTTACACACTCAGTTCTCACAATACTACTGTGGGAAAGTTATTCTGTGTGTCAGAAGCTGTTGCTTCTCAAAATACTTTTCTCTGAGTTGGTTTGTCCTCCTATTGCCAAGGCTACAAATGAAAGAACTTGAACCCAGTATCCTCAGTTATGTTTGATTTCAAGCTTAGGAACCAGAAGGAGTCTAGAAATTAGAAAGCTATCCCAACCCTGGAATAGAAGGCAATCTCTGATGGAATGACTTGATGTATATTGAATTTATTGACTAAAATACAGAAGAGAAAAACAAACAAACAAAAACTGCAACCTACTTGCCTTAACAAAGCCGTGTTTAAGAAAAGCATGGTCTCTTATTTTCTACTTTTTGGCCAGTCTGGCTTTCTGTGTTACTTTCAGTCTGTTGCATGGGGAAGCTTCACTGGTGAGAGTTGAGAGATGCATTAGTATTCTCTCTATCCCCTGTTCTGCTATATTTTGTGAGCCTTAAGTGTAGAGGGTCCATTGTAGATGTGCCACTTAGGGCTCAGCATCTCACAGACACTTATCCTCTGTGTTTGGCCAGCTATAGAACTCTGCAATAGTCTCCATCATTGCAAACAGAGCTTCTTTGATGGGTGGCAAGAGGTGCAGTTGTCTGTAAATATAAGGATACATATTTAACATTCAGTGAGAAATTATATTTGTCTTAGAGATGTGACAGACGTAGGTTTTTCTCTAGAATCTTCTGCCTGACCAGCTGTGTGTATTTGGCTATGTTTACAGTTTCACACAATGCATGTCATCCCTGGATAGGACTCCTATGTTCATCCTCTGACACCCAGGGCCCAGAGACCATTGTGGAAGAGGGGGCTGAAAGATTGTAAGAGTCGGGGATGATCACAAGAAAACAGAGTTTTCCAGGTGGCTAAGAACTTGCTCAGATGATTTTACAGCATGGTGATGACAGCATGCACAAGACCCATGCAAACTCAAACCAGACAAAAGCCCGGCATAGAAATGAGAAAATGAGTAAGAAGCCCCAACTTTAGCTAAGGAACAATTGGCAGCTGATCACTGCTGAGTGAGGGAGAGTTGAGCTTCTTTAAGGGAGTGACACTAGATAGGCTAACCAGACTCCAATGGATGAACCCATACTGAGGGGCACCTGAGACACAAACTTGCCTGGATAGGCCTTCACATATATAGCAGAATACATGGAATCCAGTGGGGAGCTATGAGGGGTGCAGACAGGAAAAATGGTCAAAATATGATTAAAATGTATGAAATATGAAATGCACAAAACTTCAGTAAAAAATATATATTGGGGGAAAAAAAAGAAAGCTCCTGTGGTTCATGCCTTTAATCCCAGAACTTGAGAGACAGAGGCAGGCAGATGGCTATGAGATCAAGGTCAGGCTAGTCTACATAGCAAGTTTCAAGCCAGCTGGAGCTACAGGGAATCTCTGTCTCCAAAAAAAAAATAAATAAAAAGAATGAAAGAAAAAAAGATTGGGTAGGCTTGGAAGGTAGTTTAGTTGGTAGAGTGTTTGCCTAGTTTTTCCTAGGATGCATGATGCCTTGGCCTCGAGCTCAAGCACTGCATAACCGGGCATTAGTGTCACATGCCTGTAATCTTAGCACTACAGAGATGAAGTCAGGAGGATGAGAAATTCAAGGTTGTTCTCAGCTACATACTGAGTTTGAAACCAACATGGGCTACATGAGACCCTGTCTTTAAAAATCAAAAGGTCAGGCTTACAGGGAGGTAAATTAGGTCAATGAGGAGTGAATCATTTGTTTAGCACAGGATAAATTTCCAAGTGTTTCACTGGAGGATTCCTTTAAATTGCTAATTTTCTTTTCAATCAGATCATGACTTGATGGAGAGAATAATGGAACAGAAGAAGAATAAAAAGTACCAGGAACCATTGCAAAACCAGAAAGACATACCCATCATGCATGGTGGTGCACTCTTCTAATCCCAGAAATCAGGAGGCAGAGGCAGGCGGATCTTTGAGTTTGAGGCCAGCCTAGTCTATGCAATGTTTTCTAAGCAAGCTAGGGCTACATGGTGAGACTCTGTCTCAAAAACAAAAACAAACGAAAAAGAAAAGAAATGAGGTCAGATAATACATTTTGACAACAGAAAAGTCAATTTTCGCTCTTTAAAAGCTAGTAAACAGGCCTAATGTTATCTTTCAACTTTGTTTTCCAGACTTGTAATTCAGAAAGTAAACAACAGGAAAGCTGTGAGAATAGAATACAAATCATTATAAATGCAGAAAATATTATGGAAAAACTTGTGTGCACAGTATTGGGATTAGAAACCCACATGCAGTCTGTGAAAGGAGCCTGCTATGCCTGGTTTGTTACCAGGGAAATTCATCCTTCACCTCCAGGCTTTTAGTAATCTTATCTGATCTTGGAAAAAATATTTTATTTATTTTTTATTTTATTTTATGCGTATGCATGTATTGCCTGCATGTAGGTAAGTGCACCCATTTCGTGCAATGCCCATAGAGGACAGAAGAGGCTGTTGGATCCCTGGAACTGGAGTTACAGACAGTTGTTAGCTGCCATGTGGGTGCTGGGCTTCAAACTCAGGTCTTCTGCAAGAACAGACAGTGTACCTAACCACTAAGCCATCTCACCAGCCCCTGGGAAAAAAAAAAATTCTTGCATTGAGAATATATAATGTTTGGGGCTGGAGAGATGGCTCAGCGGGTAAGAGCACTGACTGGTCTTACAGAGGACCCAAGTTCGATTCACAGCACCCACAATGGTGGCTAAGAACCATCCTTAACTCCAGTTCCAGGGGAATCCAAAGCCCTTTCCTGACATTTGCAGCATTGCACAACATGGGTGCACTCACATACATGCAGGCAATACACTCATACACATAAAATAAAAATAATAAAGAAAGAATATATAATGTTTATGTCATAGAACAATTACCAAAAATGAGACTGTAGTTTTTAAAATGATGCCATCTAATTTTAATCTGACATGTGGTCTCTGAACTTCATTTGCTTTGTTAGATAATGGGGCCTCAAAGCAATCTTGCCGATGAAATAGAAGAACAAACGGTTGAGAAGTTAAAAGAACTGAGCAGAAGCTACAACACATACATGGAAAGTGTGATGAAACAGCTTCTGAGCATGGTGTGCGACCTGAAACCAGAAATCCATGTGAACTATAGAGCTTCCAACTGAATGCACCTCATACTGTATACGGGGGTTGGGGAGGGCCTCCTATTAATGTCAAGAAACCTCAAGTGTGCATTTAGAATTTACTGGCTACTTTCAAACTTCCATGTCACATCTTTCACATACAGGCACTGAATTTTGAAAAATAAATGAAATTCTTTCTCCTTTCCTGATAATAGGTATGGCACTGACATTTAATGTGGAGCAAGTCAAGAATATGGAATAACATGGTTTGTGACACTTGAACAGAAAACACTCAAGATACATTTTCTGGGGATATTTTTTCCTCATTTATTTCCAAAAATCATGTCACATCTTTCACATACAGGCACTGAATTTTGAAAAATAAATGAAATTCTTTCTCCTTTCCTGATAATAGGTATGGCACTGACATTTAATGTGGAGCAAGTCAAGAATATGGAATAACATGGTTTGTGACACTTGAACAGAAAACACTCAAGATACATTTTCTGGGGATATTTTTTCCTCATTTATTTCCAAAAATATTATTCTATTAATTGAAAAATTTCATACAATGTATTCTGATCATATTCAGATCCCCCTTTGCCCCACATTACAGCCCCCATAAATTATGTCCTCTATTATTTGTATTGTTTTAAGGTTTATAGCATCTAATCTGTATTTCTAAAACATTCTTGGCTATGGGTCTATTCCTTGAAGTCTGCCTGGTATCACACCAGTAAGGAAAACTCCCTTTCCCTCTCCCAGCATGGTGAGTAGATTCTCAGCCAACCTCCCAACCATGGTGGGTTTTTGTCTGGCTTGGATTTGCTCAGGTCTTGTATATGTTGCCACAAGCACTATGGGTTCATATGTACATTTGCCCTGTGGTGTCCAGACAGCATGGTTTCTTTGTATTCATGCACCTAATTGGCTCTTACAGTCTTTCTGCCTTCTCTTCCACAATGATCCCTGAGCCTTGGGAGGAGAGGGTATGTTATAAGGTATCCCATTTATGATTGAAAAGTCTGCTCATTGACTAGTTCTGCATCTCTGAGTTAATCATCACCTGCTACAAGAAAAGCCTTCTCTGGTGAGAGTTGACAGATGTGTGAATTTATGGGTATAAAAATAAGTTATTAAGAGTCAATTTAATACTACGTATATTAGCAGAATAACAGTAGTATGTTCTTTGCTATGGCCTGTGACCTGCCTAGCCACAGGCTCTTGACCCTGATAACAGTATCAGGTATGGACTCCATCCTGTGAAATGCGCCTTAAATTCATTCATAGGTAAATGGATGGAACCGGAAACAATCAATTCTTTTTATCAGTTTAGAAGATATGCTATTTACATGTGGTTCTTAATAAGCTTTTAAAGGACGATATAATTATGATCCTCATATATATCTGAAATGAACATGTCAAGGATTTTCTTTGACTCACTAGTCAATGAAGAAACTATAACTCTTCATTGATAGTTCAACAAGAAATCCTAAAATCCTTGTATTAAGACCAAAGACAGCAATAACAAGTTACAAATCACCTTAAAAGAAATGCAGGCCAAAATTTCCCTTTTCTCCATTGTGGAAAACCAGTCCAATTTCCTCCTGGTAGTCTGGGTCAATCACCCCTCCTAACACTGTAATTCCTTTCTTAGCCTAACTTAAGGGCATCAGAAGCCCAAAGTGTCCAGGGGGAGGTTTTAGCTTCCAGTGTAACAGAATGTTTGTTGTCTCTCCTGGCAGAAGCACTCCTTCCTCTAGAACCAAAACATCTAAGCTAGCAGAGTGCAAAGTCGAGGGTACAGGAAGCAAAAATTTTCCTAATGGGTCACCAGGGGTGATAGTGACTGGAATCATTCCCACTTCCACTCCATGATTCCTGGACCCGTGAATCCTGGCTATAGGAGAAACTGTACCATATGTTGGACTGTGATTCAAAGCACACACTGCCTTCTGGAGGACCCCACTCCAATCCTCCAGGCCATTCTCACCTAATTTGCCCTGTAACTGTGTTTTTAAGAGGCCATTCCATCGTTCTATCAAGCCAGCTGCTTCAGGATGGTGGGGTACATGATAAGACTAGTGGATTCCATGACCATGGGCCCACTATCGCACTTCTTTGTCTATGAAGTGAGTTCCCTGGTCAGAAGCGATGCTGTGTGGAATACCATGATGGTGGATAAGGCATTCTGTAAGTCCCTGGATGGGAGTTTTAGGAGAAGTATTACGTGCAGGAAAGGCAAATCTATAACAAGAATAAGTGTCTATTCCTGTAAGGACAAAATGCTGACCCCTCCAAGATGGAAGTGGTCCAATGTAGTCAACCTGCCACCAGGTTGCAGGCTGGTCGCCATGGGGAACAATGCCATATTGGGGGCTCAGTGTTGGTCTCTGCTGTTGGCAGATCTGGCACTCAGCAGCAGCTGTAGCCAGGTCAGCTTT